TATATAACTTCAATAGACATGATATATTCATCATCTATAAATTATGTAAGTTGCATATAGGAATATTACACATATAGTTCTGATATATTTTATTTTATAATTTCTATTTATGATTTATATATTGCTTACTTATGATGTATTGATCAGGTTTAAATGATGAATTATGTTATATATATTTTTCACCATTATATTTATATGTATGACTAAGCGGAAACATTCTCTAAACGTGTACGTTTATTATTGGGGTCAACTTTACTGTTATTTTTGTTTTATTGCGCCAATAGTAAATGTATTGTATATTTGATGATCACTTTTTTCCTTTTTTGCATTTGTTTTCGCACGAAAAATCTTTGTCTATGCGAGTGTCTACCATATGACTTTTACGCATCGTTGGAGTTTGAAAAAGATGCATTTGTCCAATAGTCGTCACCTGAAGAGTCAAATGATATACACCGTTATAGAATATCTTGTTTATTTTAATGTAATCTAGTTTACGGAATATCATATTATGATGTCGCTCCTGCCGAATATTGAGTAACTAAACTACTTACTTTCCTTTTTTTTATATTACTGGATAAATATTCTATATGTTTTTTAAGCATTTAAATAATAATAAAAATAATAAATATGATTTATTTGAATACTATTTCAACTCTCCATACTTTTAGAAGGTTGATCCCAAATTTAAGGACAAATTAGTTTAATTCAACACTTTTAAATTTGAATAAAGTATAATGTTATTTACCTTATTGGTTTCAAATATATTAGAAACTTTTTTATTTTTAAATGAGTACTTACATAAATTCTACAAAACTATAATAAGATTTAAAATCGTCTGAAGAAAATAATATAAACTATTTTTTTTAATTTCAGGCTACATATAATTCGTACAAATATTGGATTCGACAATTATGATAAATTTATTATATCTAATTGTAGCCATTGATTAAATATTTTTTGTGTGCAACTATTGATCTGTTGAATGACTAATATGATTATGATGCATATATATTTAGAATATGATGTTCAGAAGATAGGGACATGATGTAATAAAAATTCGTCAAATACGTTACTTTCGCGATCGATAAAAAAAACTTATCACATTCTATAATTTCTAAAACGTTATCTTCGTCCACAGCACACTGAAACTTACTGGAATGCACATCATTTTTCTTCATCTTGTTCTACACTCTGGCTTCTCCACAATTTATTTTCTTCGATGGATGTCGGTGAAAGAAGATGAAGCTATCTATTTTATTTTTTTATATAAACTTATTCAGATTATGAACACGACCAATATCTATCGGTATTTATATTTCCTTGATTTATGCTAAAATAAAATATTGACTTATTAATTATATGAATCAAATTACATATCTACTCATACATGCAATCTCGTCCGTTGATTAAAAATTTCATCAAACGGTTGTAATTTTTTCAGGATGGTCCTGAATACTGAATTCAGGAGCATACCCGGATTGAAAATTTATAATTAGTTTTAATATATAAAAAAATTATTTTTATTTAACTATTTTTATTCTTATTGCATATATATAAATACATTATTTATACTAATAAATTCTCCTTTATTTTATTATATTTATATATATATATTTGTAAATGATTTGGTTTCGAGTACTATATTCTAATATATATATATATATATTTTAATTATATTCAAATTTTTAGTCTTTTAATTTGAAAATTCATATAATAAGTTTTAATATATACAAATTTTTATTTTCTAATAGTACTTCTATTTCTATTTTATATGTGTTTTTTAAATATATATTGTGTTTTTTTATCTTTTACAATCAATTTTTTTTTATTCTATGTCTATGTCTTCTTTTTTTTTCGATTGATTTGATTGCGAGTGTTATATTCTAATAAATATATTTTTTTATTTTGTAGATTATGCTCAAATTTTGATTCTTTGCATTTGAAATAATATTTGAAAAATTCATATAAAAAAAATTATGATAAATTCTAATATATAAAACTTTTATTTTTATTTTATTATTTTCATTCTTAAAATTTCAAGATTTACTTAAAGTTAATTATATTTTTAATTTGTAATTTTTAATTAAAATTAAAATTATATATATAATTTAATTAATATGTTTTCAATTAGGATAGATAATGTAAAATTTTTAAATATAATTTATAAAATTTTAAAAATAAATTAAAAAAGTTTAATAAAAATATATATTTACATAACTATGTCCTATTTAGTAATTTTCAAAGTTTTCAAAGTTTAAAAATAATTTAAATTTTATTATATTCAAATAGTTTTTATAATAATTCATCAAAATATATAATTAAATTGTTTCTACTTATTTTTTAAGTCAATATAAATAGTTTATAATTTTTTTTGTTTTAAATATGAAATAAATCTAGTAATTATACAATACAAACCATTTACTTTTGGATAAACGAATCATTTAACACCAAAAAATTCTATCAATTTGTGATTCTATACGCAACATTGATCAATTCTTATAACATTACTTTCAAATATAAAAATAGCATTTCTTTATTCATCGTACAACATAATATATTTCGTCTTTCATATAAGATTGAAAATATTATTTGAATAGTCTATTGACGAAATTGAAAATATAGTACGAGATTCCATCCTAAAAAAATCACTATTATATAAATGTTGCAACATATTCGGCGTCGCGGATGAATATATTATCACATTACAATTTTATTTATTTATTTATTTATTTTATTTTTTGCACGAAATTTCGCAACAAGAATAATTTTTATTAAAATTTGCTGCAAATATCCGCAACAAATTATTAAAATTAAATAATCTAATAGAACTTAAGTTTGTAATATATTTTTTTATTTTTTCTCGAATGTCAGTGACAATTATATGAATTTAAATAATGAAACAATGTCTAGAATTTTGTTACAATAATTACCACTAAAAATTAATTTTGCTAAAATAATCTTGAAATTTGAACTAGATCAGACACTTCTAAAACTTTATAATTTGTCTCGGATTGATGCCCGCCTTCGCTGCCCCAGCTCCCACCGGAGAAAAAGGAGCTGCCGCCACCGCCGGAGAAGAAGAAGAAAGAGGGGGAGCTGCCCACCGCTGCCGCTGCCGCTGCCGGAGAAGGAGTTGTCTCCGTCGCCATCGCCGCCACTGCCACCATTGCTGCTGCAGAAGAAGGAGGAGAAAGAGGTTCCGCTGCCGCCAACAAAGAAGAAGAAAAAAAAAGAAACAATTAGATTACTTTTTAATAATTGGCTACAAAGTAATAGGTGAATTAATTTTTAATAATTTCTTTTTACTTTTTTTAGTGTATTCTTACAACACTTAAAAAAAAATAATAATAATTGTAAAAGCATTGTTGCAATAATTTTCTTTTGTAAAATTAAATTAAAAAATATTATGGTGGTAAATTACAATAATATAAAAAATTAAATTTATTTTTAAAAATTATAACGGAAGTTCACGATAATCTATTCAAATTAATTATAAAAAGATTACTCTCTAATTGAAAAAATATAATATACGGTAAGATATCGTAGAATTCCAACATATATTTTTTTTTATTTTATTTTAATTGTAATATCTTTATTTTTAAAAAGTAATAAGAAAGACACTAAAATAATTTATAATTTGTGACTTTTTAAAATATTGTTAATTAAAAATATTATAGTATTTACTTGTGCGGTACTATGATATCACGAAGATTCACTAAATAAATATTAACCATCACATCTTCAAATCATGCAAAAATAACTGCAATTTATGAGGCCAGTAAAAAATGTGTTTGACTGATTTCAATGACTCGACACAGTTTACATAATTAGTTTGAAATTTGAAAATGATAATCTTCTTGATAATGTACTTTATATGACTCAATTAAAAAGGGATATATTAAAGAAGATAGAAGTATAAATTTATTAAAATCGGGCTGAGCCAAACAGAACTCAACCTTAATTTTTGTTTTTATTTCAAAACTTAATATAGGAGTATAAATTTATTAAATTCAAATACTCTCTTCGTCCTAAAAGATTTGTCTTGTTTATCCATTTTCGTCCGTCCCAAAACAATTGTCTTGTTTCCTTATTTAGTAGTTGTGGTCTCCACTTTATAACAAAATTATTCATACTTTTTCATACTACCCATAATTATTACTCTAACGTACTCTTTAAAATCCTTAAAAAAGTCAGGGCATTTTACTCATTTACATTCTACTTTATACTCACTTTCAATTAAATATCATTATTTCTTAATTTTCGTGTCAACTCTCAATAAGACACTTCTTTTGGGAACGAGGGAGTATTAATTTTGAAACTGCGCCGGGCCAAGCACAACCCAACTTCATGAGCCCGGGCACGGCCCGGTTCATTAGCGTGTTGGGCCAGGCACAATCCAAAAACTTTGTGCCTATTTTTGGAGGCCCAAGTACTATTTTTTCATGTCGTGCTTGGATCGGACTTTCGGGTCGTTCTTATTTTTGTCACCCCTAGTTATTACTCTTAATTAACACTTATTTACAGCAAATACCACTACCTTGATTATATTATCTCTTTATTTATTTTAATTTTTAACTAAATTTTCTAAAATGTCTACGACTAACTTTTTTATTTTATCATTTTTTAATAAAATATTTATTTTTCTTATTTTTCATGTCTAATTTTAATGGACGCCAGGTCGTAGACTCAAAAAGTTAAGAGTAGTACTAGGTGTATTTGTTTGAGGTTTAGATTTTGCGTTGAATTTGAATAATAAAAATTTTGAATTTGAATAAATTAAAAAATTAAAATAAAATTAAAACGTATAATTTGTTTTAGGAAATTAAGTAGGATATATAGAAATGGAGGGATGGAGAGTCTAGTGGGAAGAGGAGTATATTATTATGATTATTATATTTTATATTTTATATATTAAACAACATTTTTATTTGTAGGTCACATTAGAAACTTATTTTATTTAATTTAAATTTACTATTATCAAACCCATCATCCTGTACAAATACAAAAAGACACCCAAAAGAGTTGTTCTTTCTTAGCACGCGCCATGTCGATAGCTGCCATCATACAGAACCCAGACTAATGGAGAAAAGTTGGCCCCTTTTGCTCCCTGAGTTTTTATTTCGAATTAATTAAATTCTAGTTTGACGAAAGCGACGTGAATTGCGATGGAGCATCGTACCAACGGAAATGCCGACGAAGAAATGAAATCAATTGATCTGCATCCCATTCGGAAGGATCCGTACCCGACTCACGCGCCCGACCCTACCCCGAACGGCGGTGCGCCGGATCCCAAAATTGCTTTTGACGATGCCAATGGTGCCAACGTGAAGGCCGTCGGATCGCCGCGATCGAAGCCGAAGAAGTCGGTGCGGTGGAGCGAGGAGCTTGTGACGGAGACGCCCATTCCGAGGGATTACGACCGCGGATCCAGCAATCCCTATGTCAATTACTCCGCCGCGCCTCCCGCTGACTCGTCTTTCAATTTCAAAGGTCGGCTGGCTAATTAATTTAATTCTTCATAGGGATTGATTGAATCGGACAACTTATATCTCTCGCTATTCGGACTTTGCGTGTTGTCTACGATGGAATCGAAGCTATTTACACGCACACACACATAACACATACGTATATGTTTTTTGTCCTTATACGCGTTATGTACGTGTATGTATTTATCGATATTTATATATCTCCATTTTTCTCTGAGCAAGAACTCTTCTTACTGGCGTTTCATTGAGCTCCAGCAAAGGTTGGTCTGCTTCTGCCCCAACACTAAAAATTTTATGTGCTTATAATTCATATGCTTTCTGCTATCCATCTTTGTGTTAACTCTGTGATTACCTTTTTCTCGTACTATTTAATTTTCTATGTTAAGAAGGAGAACTGAATTGAACAAGTTATCTGTGCTGCATCTCCTACATGACTATAATATATTTAACTTATGAGGGCTGGATAAGTTATTATGCTTTTCAACTCATGTTAGGGATCAGAAAAGTGAACTGTCCAAACTGACTTGATTAAGATTGTATTGTTCTGTAGTTAATGGATTAAGGTTTGATTTTTTGTTTTGGTTTCTAGAAACTATGGGCACTGTGAAGGATGTGCTGGGGAGATGGGGGAAGAAGGTTGGAGAAGCTACGAGAAGGGCCGAGGATTTAGCCGGAAGCACCTGGCAGCACTGTAAGTAAATTCCTTTAATATACATTTATATATATATATTATTTTCTTGAAGTTGCATTGACTTGATCTACTTTGGTAGTGAATTACTCTGTAAATTCTTTTTCTTTCCCGGAAGATGGGCATGATCTCTATATATCTTTTTATTCATGGTTTCATTGTTTTGTCGGCATGATTTTGGAAATTGATGGGGTAGCATTTTATGTTCGTTGACTGTACACACATAAAGAACATATTAACTTAGATTTATGGTAGAACCAAGAATAATAAAGCAAGAAAATCACGTTTGCCCAAAACAGCCGATGGCTGAAAATTCCAAAACTTGATTGAATTCCCAATCAATGTAAAAAAACAACCATATTCTTATTTATACCCTAGGCACAATTAAATAATAAAACCCAAATATAATAAAGGTTCAACTATTAATAATTAATAAAAGACTAAAATCCTAGGCTTGCGAAGGCAAGCTCAATCCCGTCCCCGCCTTTTGTAGACAAGTAAAGGCCTTAGCCGTTTTTCATTCTCGGGTGCTTGCTCCGGCTCTCTATCAATTTAGCATATTAGAACTATGAAAATAATTTATTAAAATTGAAAATTTTCATTAAAACATAAAACATACTTGAGAAATTCAAATCTAAGTAAATTTAATTTACTGATAAAACCAAATCTAAATCTATTAAATCTAAAATTGAATATCTAAAATATATAATATTCCCTCAAGCTCAAGTGGTGTAAAAAAAACCAACTTGAGTTTGTAAAGAGAGATCGAAGATGATGCAACCACAATTGTCCCTCATGCCAGCTTCGGAAAATACGGAACTAGAAAATACGAAACTATCACCAAAGCTAGAAAACATGGAACTAAAACACACAAAAGTACTGAACCATGATAAACGATCAAAGGCCAAACTCGGATGCAAACTTGAAAAATAAACTTGAAGGGTGATCAATTTCAGATGGATCTCAAAATCAGAAGATTTCTGTTGACACCATAAAATAAAAACAAAAAATAAAATAATCTCAAATTTGGGAGACGTCCAGGTTGAATGTACCTGGAGAAACGTGGATTAGTAGACTAAATCTATTGCGGAGAAAAGTAAACTCTGATGCCATACGAAAATAATTTATTAAAACTAAAAAAATTGCATTATATTGATCATAAAAATAACGGGCTATATATAGGCAATATAAAGTTGACTTAATAGATGCAAATCCAAGTAAATCTAATCTATGAATAAGACCAAATTTAAATATAAATCTATTAAATCTAAAATTGAATGTGTAAAATATTTCAACAAGAACCTTCGAACGAAAATGGAAATGCCTGATCCATAAAGAAGTTTCAAATCCATCCATTTGTGATAATATTAGTACGTAGTGTGTGCATAATTGAATTTGCTATAATGTCTTAGTATAGAAGTTTTGGAGAGGAAAAACCACTATTTTCATAACAGTGAAGTTGGAATCTACCATTTGTCGCTATGTTAATATGCATTTTATTTTCGGCTGTGAAGTAGAGTCCCGACCTCCACATAGCTTTCTCATTGAATACTCTGTTTGAGGATACAATGTTGACATACAGAATTGCTCTCCTAGTTAGTAAGGCAGTGGTTTGTTCGTATGGTTCTTTGCGGAGAACTCTTGTTGCTTTCCTGTCTTTGTTTATTTCTTACAATGTCGTAATGAGTTTGAGAAATTATACAGGGATTAAAAAAAAAGTCACTTCTTTATTGTGATCAGAAGTTTTTGTGGATTCCAAATAGTTTTCTGTGGTGGTTCTAGCAACTTCTTTGATTTCTCTTATTGCATTTGCCCTTGCGTATTTACTTTTGTGTCAAGTTAGTGAAAACGAATCCTAGTTTGACGGAAGCGGCCCTAGGAAGAATTGCACAGGGGACAAAGGTTCTAGCAGAAGGTGGCTATGAAAAAATATTCCGGCAGACATTCGAGACCACCCTGGAGGAGCAACTGAGAAATTCATTTGCATGTTACTTGTCAACGTCAGCCGGGCCGGTTATGGGAGTTTTGTACGTCTCCACTGCGAAACTTGCATTTTGTAGCGACAGCCCACTTTCCTACCAAGAAAGCGACAAGATTGAATGGAGCTATTACAAGGTATGCCTTGCTTCCTTTATATTTTCTTGCAGTCTATACTAAACTTCTTAGTTCCATTCAATAAGTTACAATACTGTGGCTTGAATCCAATATATTCCTGTGTGAATTAGGATGAGTTCATTATCACTAGAAGTTGTTTGTTTCATTCATTTTTGGCGTAACTGTTCTTGCCAAATTGCCAACTATACTACCCATTGATGAAAAGGTCGTGTCATGTGTAACGAACCCTGTTGAAGGAGTCTAGTATCAATAAATATGAGACAAAGCTTATTTTCTGGCAACTTTATTGTTTTTTTGGGCAAGATGGCGATACGATATCCCTGTCGTTGTAAGGGGTAAGATCCCTAGGGTGAATGGGAACTAATTACATCATAGGGACTTGGTTATCGATAAGAGTAGTTGTGGACATTTGATTTGATGTCATCTATAGAATATTTCAGATTTCTGTTTCGGATTTACCCAACTCTGAAGTAGTCATCCATGATGTTTTGCTTGCATTGATTAGGGTGGATGAACAATTTATTTACTCTAATTATATTTACATTTATGTATTAATTGACCAAAAATGTAAAGCTAACAAAAATTTTCATCTAAAATTCGTAGATGGATAAAAAAACAGTCATTTATGTGATTACAGGTTATTATCCCATTGCAGCAAGTAAAAGCAATCAAGCCTTCGACAAGCCGAAGCAACAGAGCTGAAAAATACATCCAGATCATATCAGTGGACAACCATGAATTTTGGCTTATGGGGTTTCTGAATTACAATGGAGCTTCAGAAAGCCTCCGGCAGGCCTTACAGTCTCGCGATGCTCTTTCTGTATCCTCAGTGTAGTAGTAAGTAAGATTATTTGATTGTTATGCATCCAGATGAGATGAGATAATTATTCGTTTGCTCGATCGATGGCAATTGGCGATTGGCATCATCATATCTGTTGTAATATTGTATCTATCTATCTATATATGTATATGATGTATACACCACACCACACCACACCATTTAAATAACATGATAATTCTTGATTTGATTGTTGGATTCTTCTTCCTCTGCATTTGACCCTTAATTCCTTTCTCTTACAGTAATTAGGAAATGTGGTGTCTTAAGATTGGACTTGCTTTGTTGCAATAATATAATAGATGTATGCATGTATATATATATAATAAATAATTTTGGAACCTGTTTGTTTGTTTGTTTCGGTGAATCCAGCAGCTCTCTCTCTCCCTCTCCTCCGAAAGTGCGCACGGGGTAAACCCCAGGTGACCTGAGGCGTCGGAGGTTTGAACTCATGACCTCACGATCACAAGTCCAATCCCTACACTACAAAGTCATCTCTTACGGGACTATTATTATTATTATTGGTGATGGTGATGGTGTAATTCCGAAGGAGGCCGGGACCCTTTGTTGTTTGTTTGGTTTTCTGAATGCCCCTTTTGGTTATTTATTTATTCATTACATTATTATTATTATTATTATTATTATTATTATTATGTAACGCTCCGAAACGCAGACATAGGCCAGTATTATAACAATAACGTGTATTGACACACCATCCTATAATACTAAGGTTTCACAAAACTTCACCTATTTTTTTGCAATAATAACATTTATTTCAAAAGATAGAAATATGTTACCATTACCCATAGTATTTTTCAAACATATGAAAAGAGTGAAACAAATATATTATAAAATAGTGCTAAAAATGAGTGTGCCAAAAGACCATTTCCCCAATAATATGTCATTCATCGACCCGAAGGTCCAACTAAGGAGTCTACGAGAGAAAAATGTAATATTATCGGCAACACTAGCTGAGTATGAAAATAAATACATAAACAGAAAGTCCAACCAACCATAACCTAAAAGTCAAGACAGTACTCGTGACCATTCATCTCATCATAACACATACCAATTTACCAATATAACATAATCAATGCCATATCAATAGTTCACTCCCGACTTAAGGATAATCAATGTCATATCGATAGCCCATTCTCGGATAAACAATATTAAATGTCATATTGATAGCCCACTCCCGGCTAAACAATAATCAATCACATTGATAGCTCACTCTCGGCTAATGACAATAAATGTCATATCGATAGCACATTCCCGGCTAAACAATAGTAAATATCACATCGATAGCCCACTCTCAGCTAAACGATTATCAATGTCATATCGATAACCCACTCCCGGCTAAACGATAATAAATGCCATATCGGTAGACCACTCCCGACTAAATGATAATTAATATCACATCTATAGCCCACTCCCAGCTAAACGATAATAAATGTCATATCGATAGCTCACTCCCGGCTAAGCGATAGTAAATATCACATCGATAGCCCACTCCCGGCTAAACGATAATCAATGTCACATCGATAGCCCACTCCCGGATAAACGATAGTAAATATCACATTGATAGCCCACTCCCGGCTAAACGATAATCAATGTCACATCGATAGCCCACTCCCGGCTAAACGATAAAAAATGTCAATCGATATGCCGACTCCCGGCTAAACGATAATTAATATCACATTGATAGTCCACTCTCGGCTAAACGATAATAAATGTCATATCGATAGCCCACTCTCGGCTAAACGATAGTAAATATCACATTGATAGTCTACTCTCGTCTAAATGAGAATCGATGTCACATCGATAGCCCATTCATGGCTAAACGAGCATCAATATCACATCGATAGCCCACTTCTGGCTAAATGATAATAAATACCATATTGATAGCCCACTCCTGGCTAAACGATAATCAATATCAAATTGATAGCCTACTGTCGATTAAGCGATAATCAATATCACATAGATAGCCCACTCTCGGCTAAACGATAATCAATATCACCATAATCACACAAATCACAAAATACATGAGCACATCATATCACGTATCTCACTTTATCAAACATATAGTCACACCATAAGACACGCAATCACAATACACATTTAAGCACACAATCGAACATATAATCAATTACTTATTCAATTTAGGCATAGTCTGATGGCTATTCGGTTTACGATATTTACGTCCATATCTTATTTGCGAATAGAAAACACCAAACAGCTATCCGGACAATTTCCTCTTAAGGATACGAACAACAGAAAGGTGCATTATTACATTGACGTTTTCACTTCTGTTTAGATTGATACGAAATTCTCGAAATATAATGTTAGGGCTACGAATAAGCTATTAACTAAATAAATTCATCGATTAAATAGTTAAGTAGTCAATTATGAATTTTTGAAGAATTTTTAATTTAATACACCAATATTCAAATTCATATTAAAAATTATAATTAAACTCTACTAAGCAAGACCATTATATGGAAATTGAAATTGGACCGCTGACAACTTTTTTTTTTTTTTTTTCTTTCTTTCTTCTTCTTCGTTGTGGTATCTTTCCTTCCGGCCAAGGTTTGGTATTTGTTTGCTTGACTTTTCTTTGTTTATTTCATTAACTATATGTAGATATATATATCTTATATAATTATAATAATAGTTATTATCATTATTCACCGTTCGAAGAGTAATTAGCCAAGTCTCTCGATAAATAAATAAATTGTCTACTCCTTAGCCCGATCAATTGGATCGGCTTAACCCTTTAATTCTAACCCAATCCGTTTGGCCAAACCCAAGCCGAATATTCTTAGCCATTTAGTTAAATAAAAAGTGAGATTGGGAGTTAAGAGTGATAGTTTTCAGTTTTTGAGTGAAACCAACCGAGAGTGAGAGTAGAGAGGGTGAGAACCGAAGAGAGAAGAAGCAGTTTTTCCATGGAGATTTTCCGAGTGGTTCGGTGAGATTTTCTGGCGTGAGTAAACCTTTTTCGATGGCCGATTTCGGTGGACGTCGAGGCTTAGAGTGAAGAGTTGACCTCCAACCTTGCAGGGTGGTTACCTCCTGCCATTCTCGCACCATAGACTTAGCTGATAACCACCATTCCTTAGTCTCCGGTGAAAGTTCTGTAGAAATCGGAGTCTCCGGAGTCGAAGCTGTTTAGGTTTGATTGGAGGAGTCTGCCAGAAAAGAAGAGAGCCATCATCGATCTGCTCTTTGCCGGACAAACTGGAGTTGCTGCCCGTCACTGTTGTTCGCCGGTGATGTCGTCGTCTTCCTGAATTGTTGTGGTCGTCGAAATGGAGAAACAGAGACACAAGCGAACAGAGAAGTAGAACACGAAACAGGGAGTTTTCATCTTCAATTTAATTGCCTATGTTAGGTCCTGTTTGTTCGTGTTTTGATTATTCCTTTTCTAAATTGCTTTCTTCAATTCACTTCGTGTTTGTTTGTGTTTGATTTCCATTATAGCCTTAATATTAATTCTTAATTCTTTTATGGTGTGTTTGTTTGGGGTTTGAATTTTATATTACTATTCACCCCTTCTTTTTTTTTTTCTCAAAAAAATATCAAATTAAACATCTATTTTTTTATTTTTTATATTATACTAAAAATAAATTTTATATCGCATCATATAATTATTCAAATTCAAATTTTTTACTATTCAAATCCCAAACAAACACATATTTAGTTTCATTTCAGTATTAGTTTAATTTTAATTTTATTCGAATTTCGCTTTCGTTGTTAATTCATTGTGTGCATACGAGGTTTGCTAGATAAATTCAAATATTCGAGAATAAATTCACAACAATGTCATCTTTATTATTATTTACTATTATTAGTGTATTATTAAATTACTATTATATATATTATATTTATTTTTATTCATATTTATCTTTTTAACTGTCTTTTCTATCATAATCTATATACAGAATAAGAATATAATTTATTCAAAAATATTAATTTTTTAATTAAATCAATTTTATATTCAAAATATTTATTTGATATAATAATATTATTTTGTATATATTTCAAAATTGAAGCATTACATTCACTCCTCGTTAAATGGATTCAGTCCCGAAATCAACCAAAACCACGGCCTCTAAAATGGCCTCAGCACCACAATCCTATAATCCAGTCTCTCAACCAACAAACCACTACCGATTATGCCTTAAACTCCCGGGATTCTCAAATCAACCTCAAAACCTTCTAAGCCTATCAACTCTTAAAAGAGCCCAAAATTAAAGATACCAACAAGTCAATAAATCCATATATCACAATAAGGTTTAGATAGCTATCATTTTGATATCAAATCACCAAGTAAGCATATAATATATGCAACAAAATCACGGGCTCGAATTAAACACATATGAGGTTTATCACATATATAGAGTAATTAAAATCACACAAACGTACTGAAAAACTGAGGGTACCTCTCACGTATCAACGACTTCTCTTCCCACGTGGCTTCCTCGATCCCATGTCGATGCCACAACACTTTCACCAATGCACATTCCTATTCCTCAAGGCTTTCACCCTTCTGTCCAAGATCTTAATAGGTTTCTCATTGTAGCTCAAGTCATCCTATATTTATTCCGAGTTAAACTTAAGCGAGTTTTCTCAATAATAAACAAATATGTGCACAATCACGCGAAAAAAATACTAAACTGAATAAGAGTCTCGAATAATAATGTGCGAAAATAAATTACATTGTAGAAATAAGTCTCATACTTGCTATGTGATCCCTGAAATTCCTTAGTGGCATGCCTTTAGTCAAAGGATCGGCAACCATCAACTTTGTACTAACGTGTTCAATGACCACTTTATTTTTCTTGACATGTTCTCTTAAGGCTAAATACTTGATGTCTATGTGCTTACTTCAACTCCCACTCTTACTTTTTTTAGCCATGAAAACTGTAGCAAAGTTGTCGCAGTATAACTTGATCAGTCTAAAAATAGAGTCAACGACTCTAGGCCCGGATATGAAACTCTTCAACCATACACGCGAGCTAGCCTCGATACATGAAACATATAGCTCCACCAACCAACACGAACACATAACCCGATTTGGATTTCCGAATGTCAATGCAGCCAGCGTAGTCCGAATTGGAGTAGTCAATCACTTCCAAGACATCAATTTGTCTATACATGAGCATGAAATCCTTCGTACCTTGAAGGTACCTCATCACTTTCTTTGCAGTTTTCCAGTGGTCAACACTCAGATTACTCTGATATCTCCCTAGTACTCCAACAACATATGCTATGTCAGGCCTGGTGCAACCTAAGCATACATAAGAATTCCGACTGCTGAAGCATAAGAGATATTTCTCATGTGTTCCCTTTCAAAGTCATTTTTCGGACACTGACTCAAATCGAGTATGTCACCCTTTACAATAGGAGCTACACTCGGTGAACAATCTTTCATATTAAATCTTTCTATAACTTTTTTTTATATAGGCTTCTTAAGACAAACCCAAAATGTCTCGATTTCTAACTCTATGGATCTTAATGCCAATAACATAAGATGCCTCTCCCATATATTTCATATCAAAGTTCTTTGAGAGAAATTGTTTCACCTTATATAACATCCCTTTATTATTAGTCGCAAGCAAAATATCATCCACGTACAATATAAGGAAGCAAATACGACTCCCACTAACCTTCTGGTATATACAGTGATCCATGACGTTTTCTTCAAAGCCGAATGAAAAGATAACATCATGAAATTTCAAATAGCATTGGCAGGATGCTTGCTTCAATCCATATATGGATTTATTAAGCTTACAAACTAAATTTTCTCTACCGCTAGAAGTAAATACTTCAGGTTGTTTCATATAAACCTTTTCCTCTAGATCACCATTTAGGAATGTCATTTTCACGTCCAATTGATGTAACTCAAAATCAAACTGAACTACTAATGCCATGATCACACGGAGTGAATCTTTCTTAGATACCGGAGAAAATGTCTCGGTATAATCGATTCCTTCCCTTTTAGTGAATCCTTTGGCGAAAAGCCTTGCTTTATGTCTTTCGATGTTGCCATCAGAGTCTCTTTTGGTTTTGAAAATCCATTTGCATCCGATTGGTTTTAAGCCATTAGGCAACTCGACAAGGTCCCAGACTTTGTTTGATGCCATAGAATCCATCCCATCTTTCATAGCATCATGCCATAAATTAAACTCTTTAGAACTCATGGCTTGTGAAAACGTTTCAGGATCATTTGCGGCTTCTATATTGCAATCTGATTCTTGAAGATACACCATAAAGTCACTATAAATAACTGGTTTTTTGACTCGTGTAGATCTTGTCAATGTTGTCTCATCATTATCATGAAGAACTTGCTGACCAACTGATTCATCATCAGGTTGTTCAATATTTTCTTGATGTTCTTCATTAACAACTCAATTTACATGATCATTTTCAGCAACTTGTGGAACTTCATTAGTTAATCGTCTAACACGCATTGGAACTTGAGGAGTGTGGAAGACAATCAATCTATCACTCGGTTAAGTAGGTTGATCTTTATAGTGATCTCTTTCAGAATGAGTATCTTGAAAATGATCACTCCCAATAATCAAGTCATTCTCGAGAAATTTAGCATTTCTCAATTCCACAATTCTAGTGCTATGAGATTGACAACAAAATCTATATCCTTTAGACTTTTCGGCATCCAATTTAAAACTGCATCCGAACACTTCATCAACCTCAAATAATATCTTTCAGAAATTCAAATATTTTGCAGAGATTAATTTCCTAAAAAAAAATTGAAAATTTCTCAAAAACCAAAATGAAATTTTTCTCAAACCCAGGATCAGATCTTGATCAAGAAAATATGGCAAGAAGAAAATTCAAATTAAGGCAGAGGCAAAATTGCTCTGATACCAAATGTTAGAAATAATTAAATTTCCACAAAAAGATTTAAACATGAAATTCATACCACAAGTAATCATGCTTAAATCAGATAAATTAACGGAAGCAAATGCGATAATTAAACAAACCTCCAACCATTGTTAAAATCAAATCTGTGCTTCAGGTCTTCTTCTCTGAGAAACTAGTAGGTTGAAACCCTAGGAAGACATTAGAAAGGTGTTGTCAGACCCTTGCTCTCAAGTAGCGATGGTGTATTCTGATTTTTTAGAGTAGATCTAGTAACCCTATGTGAGAATATTTATAATTAAAAGAAAAACCGTCCATCACGATTTTTTGCCACTTCTCACGTAAATTCTCAACGTGACGGACTTAATGAGAGAAAAAGGTGGGTCACAATTTAGGATTAGTTTAATTATATAAGATAATCCGAAATAATCAAATTGATATATCTGGATTAAATATCAAAATTAAATATGATTAATTAATTAATTAATTAAACTAAACATTATAGTGTAATAATCTTTTTCTTATTATTATTATTATTATTAAGTAAAGTTTTAGAAGACAAAAAAATACTCCCTCCGTCCCGCGAAATTAGTCGAGTTTTTTTTTTTTACGCGGAGTTTAAGAAAATTTGGTTTATATAGTTAATTAGTGTGGTTAGTTAATGTAATATATGTAATAAAATGTTATATTAACTATTTTTATTTGATGAAATATTGAAATAAAAGTTGATGTATTTTTTTGTTTTTTTTAAATTTAATGTTTTATTTATTGAAATCGGTTTATTTTAAAAAAATATTATATTGATTATAAATTATGCAATTAGATAAAAGAAAAAAAAAGAGTTAATTGTAATAATTTAAATACAAAAATAACAGCTGTAATATTAAAAATTTTAGTATAAACAAAACATCAGATTTTTCGAATTTGATTGTTGGTAGGGATAATTCGATATTACATACCAAAATTTTATAACGCATATTTTATATATCGTACCAAAATTTTTAGTATGCTATTTTATCATAATGAGATATTGTACTAATAATTTGGTATACCGAATTTATAAATGAAAATATATTGAATTACAAAAACAACACATACCGTACTAAAAAATACAAAAAATGTCAAATTTCAGTATACCGAACCTTTTTTGTATGATATCGATTTTTTTTTAATATACCAAAAAATTTGGTGTGGTATACAATACGGTTCGGTATTATCTGAATATAGTATCGAGTCATTTATAATCGAATTACATGTATGGTATCATAATATAATATTTTATGCTGAAATATAAATATTAAAAATAATTTTATAATTTTAAGAATATATTAGAAAATTAATTATTTTAGTATCAATATACTAAATTATTGATATAGACTGATATATCAAATACTAAAATATCAAATTGTATTGATATTTTCGGTATATATTAGACCAATAATGCTAAAAGTATATACAATTGTCGTACTGAAAATATTCGGTGCGGTATCATACCATATAAAAATTTACGATATACAATAATTTTGACACTTTAGTATTTTTCATACGGTACCTGCATTATTTGAACAAATTGATATTTTTCACTCTTAATAATAGTGATAAATGAATTTTTTTAATGTAATATAAAAATCAAATTCTAAATCAAATCTCATTATTAACTAATTTTCAATCATAAAATATCAAATCAAATATTTTTGATATTATATACAAATTTTAGGCATCACATAAATACTTATTTATATTATATTGAATATTTATTAATTTTTATTATTCAAAATTCTTAACCCTATTTTTAAATTTACAATAAAACAAACAATAAAAGTTAAGGGTATTAGTAATTGAATAAAATATAGTTAAATTTATAATTGTAATTAGTATTTACTAATTATTACTATATTAGGAAATGCGACTAATTTCACGGGACGACCCAAAAAGGAAATGTGGGCTAATTTCACGGGACGGAGGGAGTAGGTTTATAAAATATGAGATGAGATCCTCAGCCCCTGGTGCAATTCAGCCCCTCCCGCCATATCAATTAAATGGTGAAGGGTTATTTATTTTAATTTAAAGTTTAAACATATAAATTTTTTTTATATATTTAATTATTCTTTATCTATTATTAATCTATAGTAGTTTGTTCCTTTCTACATCCGAACATATATGTGTATATATACATTTTATTATCTTTTTAAAAAATGTGATAGTGCATCTAGATCAAGAACGAGATTTTTTTGTTTTTAGAATTATGGGTTATGTTATTGGAACTTATGAGGAATTAAACCCTAAGTACAAGATATGTCGTGTTGAAATAATTTATGTAACACCCCCAGTTGGCTCATACTGGAAATGCTACCGCCACACTGCATCATGAGGTCGTCACCTCCTACTTCGGGCCCCACAACACAGTGTTAAGGCTAAAATTAATTATATAAGCATTTTATTATTCCCAAAAAAAATAGTTTATAAATATTTACAAAAACATACTCCCAAAACGGGAGGTTTTTCTAGTTAGAATTTACATATAATACATCAGATGCAGTTCACTCATTCAGCCCGTCTTTCTATCTCCCGAGACGTCCCCTGTCCCGGAGGTGCCATGCGTACCTGAATCAAATATTTTTCTTAAAAGCAGTCTAGAATTAAATCCATTTTAAGAACTAACATAAAATATGCCATGTCATGCTCGAAAATAGAGTTTAATTTCCGTCATTTGCAAAATAAATGCCATGCCATGCCCATACTGAAATAATGTAACAATAATGTCAAAATCGACAACTCATGCACATATACCCATATACATATGTCAAAGTGAGCAGCCGGAATAACCTCGGCTCCATAATAACAGCTCACTAGACTATCATCAATAAATAGCCGGAAAATCCTCGGCTCAAGGAAGGACCTGGTAAACCCATAATAATATAACGGTCACCCGGTCACTCCCATATACCCACCATACGACTCCCGCAATCAATACATGGATAGTCGAACGTTGTCGCCATTAACCACAAGACACCCCATAGTCTGTGATAGCGAAGATAGGACCCTCCTGTGTAGCCCTACCCCGTGTAACGTAGTAGAATCCGTGCAACCTGGAATCACCCGAAGGAAACCCGGAAACTCTACTCCTCCTCGCACGCCCTAACGGGATCGCGTTTGGAGTTTGGCATCTGATCCTAAACTACCGGTAGACCTCACTAGTAGCTACTCCAATGAGTGGAACAACACCGAACCCGAATGATTAGACCAAATACGTCTCAACTGCAATGGGTCTAATCCCTGAATGACCGTGCGACTAAGTCACCCAGTTGTCCGACTACTATCGTCCACTATCGCCAAAGTGTTACGGTACATCGGGGTCGAATATCCTAACCCCAGATGATGCCCTCGCCTAGCACTACCGCACACGGCGACTAAACGATAGATCCATAAAACATATCCGATAAATCGTGCAATGTGTGCAGCATGTCAATAAGTGAATTTAATGAAAAGGGCTGGTGAGACGGCCCACCTATCCTCCTTTTTATAAATTCACCAACACGATCAAATACGTATATCAAATATCGTAAAACGAAGTTTCACACATGCATATACACACACATATATACATATATAGATGCACTGACCAAATGATTCCACATAATATCATATCAATATCAGAATCAGAATCACATGCAACATAAATACCTAATTTCTTAAAATTAGATTTAATTCCCTACTGCTTACCTCCTACCGATACTTTCTGGATTTTATAACTTCATCCAAATCTCCTCCAACGTACACCTGTCCCATTATTTACTCAAATCAGATGAGCTTTATGCTTATTCTCAGGAGCTACCTGCTTATTCAAAAGCTAATTTCTATAATTAACTCGTCGGGCTCCAAACTTTTATATTTAGTAGAATATGATATTCTAGCTATAAAATCCTTCTACCTCATAATATTTATATTGCCCGATTATTAAATAAAAATACGCAAAGGTATGAACAAGCAGGCAGGTGCGATATACTGCCGTTTTTTTATTCGACTTGGATTGGTACGAAATTCTCAAAATATAATGTCGGCGCTACGAATAGGCTATTAGCTAAAGAAATTCATCGATTAAATAGCTAAATAGCCAATTTTGAATTTTTGAAGAATTTCTAATTTAATACTCCAATATCAAAATTCGTATTAAAATTTATAATCGGACTCTACGAATAGCAAGGAATACCATACCCAAGTCGGAATTGGAATCGGACGGCTAAATCTTTTTCTTTCTTTTTTTTTTCTTTCTTTCTCCTTCTTCTTCCTCCCTTCCTTCTCCTCATTTGGTTCGTTGCTGCTGCTGCGTTGGATTCTTTCTTTCTTTTCATATTATATATATATATATTATATTATTATTATTATTAAACGTAATATATTATTATTATTATTAAACATTATATATTATTATTATATTATTATTGTTATTAACGATGATGATAAGGTTCTTATCATCATCTACTATATTATTATTATATATATATATTATATTATATATTATATATTATATTTATATTTATATTTATTTTTAATTTTATCGATATTTATCCATTTAACAGTCTATTTAATTATAACTAATATACAAAATTGGAATATAATTTATCCCAAAATATTAGTTTCTTGATTCCATTACTATTGTCAAATATTTATTTGCTATAATAATATTATTTTATACATTCCGAAATCGGGGCATTACAATCCACTCCCCCTTAAAAAGATTTCGTCCCCGAAATCTAAACTCAAACACATAACAAGGCAACTTAATTAAACAATTGTGGGTATGCTTTGAACATTTCTTGTTCTACTTCCCACGTGGCCTCTTCCGCTCCATGTCTGGACCACATTACTTTCACCATACGAATATCTCGATTCCTCATGGTTCGGACCTTTGTGTCCATGATCCACAGAGGCTTTTCTTCATACGAAAGATCTTCATTCAGCTCTATCTCAACTTGTAACACCCCCGAGTCATACCCCGTCCAAGTACCTCAATTTCCATCCGCGCTAAATCTTGACACAGTTCATCAGCAACCGACATGAAGCCCAAGTTATGCCTTGGTTTTCGACTTAAGGCATCGGCTACAACATTTGCTTTGCCTTCATGATACACAATTTCAAGATCATAATCCTTCACCAATTCTAACCATCTTCTTTGTCTTAAATTCAATTCTTTTTGGGTGAAGATATATTTCAAACTTTGATGGTCAGTAAATATTCTGCAATGGGCTCCATAAAGATAGTGTCTCCAAATCTTCAAAGCAAACACCACTGCTGCCATTTCCAAGTCGTGTGTCGGATAATTCTCTTCGTGAGGTTTTAGTCGTCGTGATGCATAAGCAATAACTCTTTGATTCTGCATTAAGACACATCCCAATCCCTGCTTCGAAGCATCACTATACACTTCAAACTCCTCACCTTCCACTGGTAAAGCCAAAATTGGCGCTGAAGTTAATCGATGTTTCAATTCTAAAAAGGATGACTCACACTCGTGATCCCAGTTAATCTTTGCATCCTTTTTCAGCAAATTAGTTAATGGTTTTGCAATCTTCGAAAAATCAAGAACGAATCGCCGATAATATCTTGCCAAACCCAAAAAGCTTCTTACTTCTGATTGATTGGTAGGTCTTGGCCAATCCAAGATTGCCGCCACTTTAGAAGGATCTACTGAGATACCCTTTCCAGAAACAACATGCCCCAAGAAAGCAACCTCCTTCAACCAAAACTCGCATTTGGATAACTTGGCATATAACTTTCTTGCACGCAATATGTTTAATATTACATGCAAATGTTTTGTATGCGTCTTTTTATCTGGGGAATAGACCAAGATATCGTCAATAAATACCACCACAAACTGATCGAGGTATGGTTGAAAAATTCTATTCATCAACTCCATAAACGCAGCCAGGGCGTTAGTCAACCCAAAGGACATAACCGTGAATTCATAATGCCCGTATCTAGTCCGAAAAGCTGTCTTCGGAATGTCATGCTCTGCAATCCTTAGCTGATGATATCCAGATCTCAAGTCAATCTTTGAGAATATAGTTGCACCTCTCAGTTGATCAAATAGATCATCAATCCTCGGAAGAGGATATTTGTTCTTCACCGTGACTTTGTTCAGTCCACGGTAGTCAATACATAACCTCAAACTTCCATCCTTCTTTTTCACAAATAAAACTGGAGCTCCCCAAGGCGATGTACTAGGCCGAATGTAACCCTTATCTAGCAATTCCTGTAGTTGCAATTTAAGTTCAGCTAGTTCTAAAGGTGCCATCCGGTATGGAGCCCTTGATACTGGCTCAGCACCCGGCACAATATCAATAGCAAAATCCACCTCACGAGCTGGTGGCATACCCGGAATGTCATCAGGAAATACATCACGAAAATTTCGGACTACAGGAATATCTTGCAATCGCTGCTCCCCTTGCGTCAAATCTCTTACCTCACACAGATATACTGGAAACCCCTTACGAATAAATGATTGAAATGATAGGGATGAAATTACCTTCATAGAAGGTTGTCTGGCAGATCCTGCATAATCCACCTGTTCGCCCATCGCTCCAACCAGCGAAATTGATCTTTTTCGACAATCAAATTGAGCTTGATATGCCACTAACCAATCCATCCCCAATATTACATCGAACTCGGATAGCTTGATGCCCAACAAGTTAGTAACAAAATCAACCCCTTCAATACTAACCGGAATCTGCATATAAAGCTCTCGGCATTCCAACACTTCTCCTGATGGAAGTAAAACTTCCACTACCACTTCTACTGATGAATTCAGACCCAATCGTCTAACTAGACGCTTAGATATGAACGAGAACGTTGCACCCGAATCGAATAACACAAGAGCAGGAAAACCGCAAACCAGAAATCTACCCGTTAAAACCTCACCTGGATGATAATCAGCTTCTGCTTGGGTAAGAACATTTATTCGTCCACGCTGGTCAGGTCCTCTGCCTGGCTGCCTAGATGACGAACGTGACTGACTTCGTCCCCCTCGCCAAGATGATCCTAATCCTCTCCCTTGTGACTGCGAAGACGGCGGCTGCCATGGCCTAAACCTCGGTTCTGGAAACTCCCTTGCAGTTACCACACTTGGACATAACCTGGCAATGTGACCACTACCACCACATTTAAAACATGTCAATGGAACTTTATCACAACGAGTACCTGGGTGGCTTGTTCCACAACGCCGACAAACAGCCCCCGATTGCTGAGACCTCTCCTGACTCGGTTCATTAATCGAAATCCCCTTATACGATGGCCCAGACCTGAACATTTGCCACCATTTCTTTTTACCCTTGGGCTCATCCTCCACTTTAGCTTTTCCCTTATCTCGAACCTGATGTTGATAACCTATTTCCTTCTCACTCTCCTTTTGTCTGACTTCCTGCTTCTGATAAAATCGGGCAGCACGCTCGTAAGCCTCATACAATGAACTGATATCCAACACCGCTAAAGCTTCTTGAATTCTGTGTTGCAACCCGTCTACAAAATGGTCAATTCTGTCTCGCTCACAGGAAAAGTAGTCAGGAACATACATCTCCAACTCATTAAACTTCACAAAATAATCCTCAACTGACATCGAGCCCTGCTTTAAGTCCAGCAATTCTTGCTTCTTCGCTTTTCGAATATGCGACGGTATAAACCTAGCCTTTAACTTTGCTTTAAATTCATCCCAAGTCATATCCACTTGGTCTACACCTGCAGCTTCTTCACCTAACCACCACCGATTTGCTCGGCCTTCCAAGAAATAGGCTCCAATATTAACTCGTTGATCTGGCGGAACCTGAACAACACGAAATATCTTTTCCATCTTTTCAACCCAAAACTCAAGGACTCCTGGCTCCACTGAACCAGAATATGTTGGTGGGTTATGCCGCATCACAGCATCAATGAAACTCCTCTGTTGAGGCATCATCGCGGCCATAAACTGCCGAAAGAAATCCTGACTAGGTGCCTCTGTTGGTACATGCGCTGGCACAGGATACTGTGACTCATCAGACGAAGGATCAAACTCTGGGCCTTGAATAGCCCTACGTACACCACCACCTCGAGAATTCGACATACTGCCCCCAATTTTTCCTGATTCAATATCAATTCAGCACACAGCTAAACCAAGCATAACAATAAAAGATAGATCACATTAACATGAATGCACCCGCAAAACCCAAACCTCACCAAACCAATTCAATATCATTATTATTTTCAAAACCTTTTTAATTCAAAGAGCCAAAATCTATCAAACCTAGGCTCTGATACCAACTTGTAACACCCCCAGTTGGCTCATACTGGAAATGCTACCGCCACACTGCATCATGAGGTCGTCACCTCCTACTTCGGGCCCCACAACACAGTGTTAAGGCTAAAATTAATTATATAAGCATTTTATTATTCCCAAAAAAAATAGTTTATAAATATTTACAAAAACATACTCCCAAAACGGGAGGTTTTTCTAGTTAGAATTTACATATAATACATCAGATGCAGTTCACTCATTCAGCCCGTCTTTCTATCTCCCGAGACGTCCCCTGTCCCGGAGGTGCCATGCGTACCTGAATCAAATATTTTTCTTAAAAGCAGTCTAGAATTAAATCCATTTTAAGAACTAACATAAAATATGCCATGTCATGCTCGAAAATAGAGTTTAATTTCCGTCATTTGCAAAATAAATGCCATGCCATGCCCATACTGAAATAATGTAACAATAATGTCAAAATCGACAACTCATGCACATATACCCATATACATATGTCAAAGTGAGCAGCCGGAATAACCTCGGCTCCATAATAACAGCTCACTAGACTATCATCAATAAATAGCCGGAAAATCCTCGGCTCAAGGAAGGACCTGGTAAACCCATAATAATATAACGGTCACCCGGTCACTCCCATATACCCACCATACGACTCCCGCAATCAATACATGGATAGTCGAACGTTGTCGCCATTAACCACAAGACACCCCATAGTCTGTGATAGCGAAGATAGGACCCTCCTGTGTAGCCCTACCCCGTGTAACGTAGTAGAATCCGTGCAACCTGGAATCACCCGAAGGAAACCCGGAAACTCTACTCCTCCTCGCACGCCCTAACGGGATCGCGTTTGGAGTTTGGCATCTGATCCTAAACTACCGGTAGACCTCACTAGTAGCTACTCCAATGAGTGGAACAACACCGAACCCGAATGATTAGACCAAATACGTCTCAACTGCAATGGGTCTAATCCCTGAATGACCGTGCGACTAAGTCACCCAGTTGTCCGACTACTATCGTCCACTATCGCCAAAGTGTTACGGTACATCGGGGTCGAATATCCTAACCCCAGATGATGCCCTCGCCTAGCACTACCGCACACGGCGACTAAACGATAGATCCATAAAACATATCCGATAAATCGTGCAATGTGTGCAGCATGTCAATAAG